ACAAAGAGAGAGAGACAGAAAGTGAGAAATCATCCCCTAGGGGTGATGGCTATGCCACAATCCCTTCTCCTCCATTCTCTTCTAGGGATCCTGGGCACACATGCACACGCGCCCAGCATGAGTTTAAGCCACCAGGTCTGGGACTCAAACCGTGATCGACTACATGGGAGTCCTGCAACATAGCCATCATGCCAACTGCTGGTCCCTATAATAGTTATTATTAATGACCAGGGGGGATTTCATGAATTTCCTGAATGTGCATGAACAATTTTATATGTGTGCACATGTGCATTTTCTGGGGGGGAGACTTATGCAATATGTCTTTTATAAAATTGTCAAAGTGTTGGTGACTTACAAGAAAGATTAAGAGCCATAAATTCTACACAGGGGGACCAGCAGTTAGCGTAATGGCTATTTCACAGGACTCTCATGTAGTCGACCACAGTTCGAGTTCCGGACTTGGTGGTTTAAACTCACGCCGGGCACATGTGCGTGCGTGCCCAAGATCCCGGGGGCGGGGACGTCTCACTTTCTGTCTCTCTGTCTCTGTCTTTCTGGCGAGCGCACATGCCCTATAGCAAAAACTTCTCAAAAAAAAAAAAGATTTCAGCAGTTGGCATAATGGCTGTGTTGCCGAACTCCCATGTAGTTGACCACAGTTCGAGTCCTGGATCCAGTGGCTTAAACTCACATGGGGTGCGAGTGCATGTGTGCCCAAAATCCTGAGAGGAGAATGGAGGAGAAGGGATTGCAGCATGGCTATCCCCCTCTGGGGGTGATTTCTCACTTTCTGTCTCTCTGTTCTCTCTGTCTTTCTGTCGAGGGCACGCGCCCTATAGCAAAAACCTCTCCAAAAAAAAAAAAAAAAAAATTCTACACAGATTCCTGAACACCTTGAAGGAGAAAAAAAAATTTGAATTGGCTTGATTTTCTCCCAGCTCCAAGGCTGTTGTTATACTACACTACAAGTCTATTTTGCTTAAGTGTAACCTCTTAATTTATGAGTCATTTCTGGGAACTTTCTTATTCCCATAATATCTTTCCTAAATATTTTCTTAGTCCTTTTGCAAATCCTATCATTTATTCCCTCATTTAGTTCTTTCAAAAGCATCTTAACGAGATGACATTCTTAACATTCAGGCTCTTAACTTGGAGTAATTAACGGCAAGCAGTAGTACCTATTCTCATCAGTGCATAGGCTATTACGTTGGTAACAATAAATAACAGCTTGATAAGAAAAAAAATAGCAGGCCAGCTGGCAGCATGATAGTTAAGGCAGCTGTATCCCACATGGCCACCTGCATGGTTCAAGTCCCAGACACAGTCTTGAAAAACACACCAGGCATTTTGTATGCACCTAAAATCCCAAAGGAGGGGGTAAATGGAGGAGAAGGAACTGGAGAGTTACCATCCCCCATGAGGGTTGCTTTCTCACTTCCTCTTCCCCCACCCCCAGCAAGTGCACACACCTTCTGGCAAAAAAGGAAAACCATAACTGTTCATCTCGAAGCTCCAACTCTCTGCTCGTCTGTAGGTTATCTAGAATGGCAGTGGCAAGCAGAGGCAGGGGCAGATTACCGCAGCAGGCAGATCTATCTCCTGTGACATCTGCCTTTCTGTCAGAGCCCCCTCCTGAAGTTCCTTGTATTATAGCTTCTTTGAAGGTGTGTCACAGATTTGTGTCCAGGAGACTCCAGTTGTCTTCCTGTATTCGTCCTACGGTATTGATGGAGTTCCTTTTATTTTGCAGGCACTCTTCTAGGCACTGCAGTTACAAAGAGGAACAGGGATTTAGAGCGAAGCGAGAGCGCGAGACCCGTGGACTAGTCACGGTGTTGTGTGCTTTAATAGAGGAGCACACGGATGGGAGGGAATACAGTGAGCTCAGTCAGAGGGTCCTGGAAGGGATGGCCTTTGAAGGATGAGTAGGAGCTGAATGAGCAAACGAGGTGGGGAAAGGCTTTCATTCTTGAGGGAACTGCATGTGCAGATGTGTGGAGATATCAGAGGACTTGCTGAAATAAGAAAAAAGAAAAGAATTTTGACAGGAAGGAGGAGAGATGAATACAACTGTAGATAACTATGCAGGGGTGGATAGAAGAGCAAGCTGAGGGAGCATCTTCCTAGGGCCCTTGTTTTCTTTGTTTTTTATTTTTTTTTAATTTTTTTTATTTTTTTGCTCTAGGGCACGTGCACTTGCCAGAAAGACAGAGAGAGACAGAGAGACAGAAAGCGAAAAATCATTCCCCAGGGGGGATGGCCACGCCGCAATCCCTTCTCCTCCATTCTCCTCTCTGGATCTTGGGCACACACGCACACGCACCCGGCGTGAGTTTAAGCCACCTGGTCTGGAATGCAAACCGCGGTCAACTACATGGGAGTCCAGCGACATAGCCATTACGCTAACTGCTGGTCCCAAGCCCTTGTTTTCTTCATGAAATGGCAGGCGATGTCATCCAAGGTGAGGGACGAGAATGGGGAAGCAGCTTCCAGAGACTAAGGTTTGTAACAGGGGAAGTGGCGTTAACCGTGCTCACGTAGGAGAGTGATGCCAGTGCTGAGAGGTCGTCCAGCTGGGCGACGCAGCACGTAACACAGCTGTTAAGACTCCTCTTTCCACTCAGCTAACTCACTGTCCTCTCTTAACTCCTCTTCATAGAAATTGCCAACCAACCTCATTTCTTTTTCCCCTAATTTCTGTGGAAGCAGCCGTCTTTCTGCAGTCCTTGGGATTTTTGTAGCTTCCGTGTACCACTGTATAGCTTGTTGCTGGAGTACTAAATACAATGTAGTCTTTTCCTCAGGAGTTTAGTGATATGAAAGAGGAGGAAGATTGAGCGTGGGATATAGTGAGTGAATAAATAATAGTACTGAAGGCAGAACATGACAAGTTTACTAGAGAAGCATAAATACAGTGTTCGCAGGCTCCGAGTTCACAGCCCAGCTGAGAATATCATCAGGGCCTCACGCAGCCCACCTACATAGGACATAGTGTTCTTTTAAGACCGCGAAGAGCCACCTATAACGTGGAGTGACCTGGAAGCTCAGTGCCACTGCATTAAAGAGTCAGAGCATTATAATCAGGGACAATTCACCTCATTTCTTCCCACTGAGATGGCTTTTGCTTTAGTGCCCTTCACACTGCTTGGTAAAGCAGCCCCACCTTCTGACGTCATCACCGCTATTAGCCTGCATTACCCTGCTCCGACTTTTTTAACGGTGGTTCACTCCAAAACTAACTCTGTATTCTTGTTTCTACCTTGGACCTGCTAAATCTTAACCAGTGCTATCCAACCTCAGTCAAGGGTCTTCTGGTCCCAGTCACTGGGACCAGAATCATTTAAGCCATTTAATCAAGTAGCTTAGAGCAGCAGACTCCTTTCCCAGAGAGCTTCTTATTCTCACCACCTATAATCTACATATTTAACTTCATGCCCATCAGAAGCACCCTCATTACTCCCAGACTCCAGCTTAGAGTAGCTAGAATCCACAGAGTAAATGAAACTTGAACTGACTTGTAACTAGCCTCCCAAATCTATATCCCAGTTTGTAACCTTGTAGCGTGTGCTCCGTCCTGTCATTGACTTCTAAGCATAGGTTTTCTTCTGTACCAGTAGAGACGATCAATTCTTTTGTTCCCTTTCATTCTCATAACATGGGGTATTCTATTGGTTATTTATGTTGAACCACTCTCACGTTCCTGGGATAAATCCTACTTGGTCATGGCATATACTTGTACTATGCCACTGGGTTCCATTTGCTAGTACTTTGTATTTTGTTGAGGATTTTTGCACTGAGGATTTTTTAAAGGGCTTGCTATTAGGGTTTAGAAACTTTCACTTCTTGCCAAGTGATAGTCCCTTTGTGAGTACACCTCTCAAGATGAGTACTGTAACTACCTGGCAATCATAATATGGTCTTTGAATCCACATAATGATGGTAGGAACTTATTTTTTCAATATCTAATTTAGAAGAATAACCTCTGAGCATCAATGATAAAGATATTTCCAACATCATCCTCACTGCAAATTCATAGCCAGTAGGACATTAGAGGATTTACAGTTAACGAATAAGAATGAGATTCTAATTTGCTCTCATGTACACAATATTGTGCAGAAGGGTTGGATATTTCTTATTCATCAGACTAGATAGTGCCAAGACTAGAAATCAATAAAGATTTCTGTGGTGGCACAGTGCCAATGCAATTGAACTTGTATTGCATTGAAAGGTCCTGGGTTTGTGTCCCGGGACCTCTTGACTGTGCTGGGCATGTACGTGACCTAAGGTGCATGGAGGAGTAAAGCCCTGCTGTGGCGGTTTCTCTGTTTCTCTTTCTCATGGAAGAAAGAAAAAAAGAAATTTTCAAAAATAAATATTTCTGATAAATAAATTAGTTCATTAATTTAGTCTTTGAGTTTGTAAAGGAAATGGCTTAACAGCAACAGTTATCCTGAGACAGTAAGTCCTGTATTATTTTTAAATTTTTAAGAGAGATTTTTGCTATAGGACATGTGTGCTCAATGGAGAGATAGGGAAAGTGAGAAGTCACTCCCCAGGGAAATGGCCACGCCGCAATCCCTCCTCCTCCATTTGCTTCTATGGGCACACATGCACACGCACCTTGCGTGAATTTCAAGCTTCTGGGTCCGAGACTTGAACCGTGGTCGGCCATGTGGGATTTTGACAACGTAACCATTATGCTATCTGCTGGTCCTAAGTACTACATTATTTTTAACAGTAATATATTATTCAATAATGTTTTTAAGTCAAACAAAATATGAGCTACATATTGCAGGAATCTCAGAAGCTTAAGTAGACAGCAATGACGTATGTAACAACTCCAAACCTCACCCCCACTTCATTGTTTATGAACAAGCTTCTGTTAAAATAACTCCTACTCCATCCCCTGCCACTGCCCACCGAAAGATTGCCTTGTAATTGCAGATAATATTTTTTATAGTCCATATGATGAAACTTGAAAAGGTGTTTTATTAATTCAGTTTTCAGGCTGACCCCAAAAAACCAATTGGAGGACACATACTGGCTCACGCTTCAACAACAAGAATAAGCTTGCGAAAGGGAAGAGGCGAATTGAGAATTGCTAAGATTTATGACAGGTACAGTTGTTTTTTTTTATTCTTCCTCAGATTCTTGTGCATATGGTATTAAACAAAATTGCCTCTCCTGAGAGGCCATAATTATACCACTGGCAGATGCTAAATGTTTGAATTTCCTTCTCAAAAATTATTAAACTGATTGCAAGTCTCTGTCTACTCTGCTAGATACTAGAGATTCAGGAATTCCCTTGACAAATAGCCTTGGTTCCTGAGCTTTCGAAGTGCACAGTAAAGCTAGCTATTGAAGTAGTTCCAGTTAAAGCACGGTGTGGGCAGGGACGATGGAGTATGAGAGCACATTCTTTCTTTTGGCCAGGTTACCTCCATTTGCTTTTCAGGTTTCCATTTAAACCTCACTTTCTCAGGGAACCCTTCCCAACCCTTGCAGTATAGGCTATACCACCTTATTTACATTCACAGTAATTGTTTATAAATTTAGTACCTTTTTTTTTTTTTAGAGAGATTTTTGCTATAGGGCAAGTGAGCTCACCAGAGAGAAAGTAAGAAAGCATCTCCTAGGGAAGATGACAACAGCATAGTCCCTGCTCCTCCATTCTCTTCTTAGGATTGTGGGCACACACGTACATGCACCTGGCATGAGTTTCAAGCTGTTTGGTCCAGAACTCGAATCATGATCAATCACATGGGAGTTCAGTGCCTTAAGCACTATGCCACCTGCTGGCCCTAATTTAGTAAATTGTTTTTAAAAAAGAATTATTTTATTTAACTTTATTTATTTATTTTAGTTTGACCAGAGAGGGACAGAGAGAGAAAGTGAGAAAGCAAGCAGCTGAGTCAAGGATTCAAACTGCAGTCAGCCATGTGGGAGTCCAACACCCTTAACCACCATGCCACTTGCTGGCCCCCAATGTAGTAAATTTTTACAGAGAAACTCACTACATGTCAGCTCTGCAAGGTTCTTGGAACAGACTAGTGACAAAACAAAAAGTCAAGTCCCTACCCTCATGGAATTTAAGCCATGGAACACTGGCAATGATTTGTGTAATGTTTGTCATCCCATCTGGACACTATTCACTTGCTCAGTGCCTGGGACATAATAGACTTAAAACGTTTGTGACTTACTGATTGGCCAACTCAGAGAAACAAGGCAAAGATTTGTGGCAACTTTTTATCCTGCAGAGAGAAAAGCAGCCCCAGAAGAAATCAGATGACTTCTTAGTATGGTTTTCACTATGAATCACTGTACTTACATGCTATCATTGAATAAAGTTTAGATAATCAGCTCCACCATCTATTTAAGATGGATTCTACTCAAACCATTTTTCTTTTTCCTTTTTGTTTTAGAATACACACTATAGGGTGCATCCACTCAGCAGAGAAACAGAGACTGAAAAAACAGAGAGAGAAGGTGAGAAATCACCTCCCAGGGGATATGGCCATGCCACAATCCCTTCTCCTCTATTCTCTTTGGATTCTGGGCAGGCATGTATACACACCTGGTGTGAGTTTCAAGCCACCAAATCTGGGACTCGAACCATGGTCGACCATGTGGGAGTTCAGCACCTTAACCACTATGCCACCTGCTAGCCTCCCATTTTTGTTTTTCATCACCTATCTCTGGAGATTATATTACATAAATGCTGTATTTTATGTAGTGTCAGCAATCTCTAGAAATTTGCTACAAAGGGGACCAGCAGATGGTATAATGGCTATGTTGCTGGACTCCCATGTGGTTGACCACAGTTTGAGTCCCTGATCTGGTGGCTTAAACTCATGCCAGGTGTGTGTGCATGCATGCCCAAGATCCCAAGAGGAGAATGGAGAAGAAGGGATTGTGGCATGGCCATCCCCTGGGGGGCAATTTCTAGCTTTCTGTCTCTCTGTCTCTCTCTTTCTGGCAAGCTTATACGCCCTGTAGCAAAAACATCTCAAAAAAAAAAAAAAAAAGAAAGAAAGAAAGAAAGAAAAATTTGCTACAAAGGTTCTACAAAGGTTCTTTGTTGAATTAAATATAGTTCTATTAATTTTATATCTCATTATTAAAATTTCTTGGTCTATATCTTGGACAGATTGCTATTCTTAGGACTTTCCCAGTTTTCACTCTGACCTGTAGTGGACTGTTTACAAGAACATCTCCTTCACAACAGGAACTCACTAATGTCCCCAATACCTAGCATGGTATCTGGCACATAGTCAGCAATCAGAAACCATTTTTTAAATTAACAAATGGATGAACCCCATCTATGGATTCAGTCATTTGTATATTTCATCAAGCCTTCCCACTTTGCAGAATTGACAACTCTTATATGAGCTGGCCTTGTAGCCTAGTGGCTAAGGGAGCCAGATTCCACAAGGCTGACCATGGTTTAAATTCTGGCCCCAGTGGCTTGAAAAACATGTTGAATTCATGTGTGTGCTTGCTCAAAATCCTGACAGGATGGAGAAATGGAGGAGAAGAAACCGACCACACCCTATTGGTGTTTTCTCCATCTCCCTATCTCTGTCTCTCGTTAGTAAGCACATGTCCCCTCTGGCAGTTAAAAAAACAAAACCAGGGACCGGCAGGTGCCATGGTGGTTAAGGCCACTGAATTCCCACATGACAGATCATGGTTCAAGTCCTGGACCTAGGGACCAGCAGTTAGCGTAATGGCTATGTCACTGGACTCCCATGTAGTCGACCAGGGTTCACGTCCCGGACCCGGTGGCTTAAAACTCATGCCGGGCACATGTGCGTGCATGCCCAAGATCCCGAGAGGAGAATGGAGGAGAAGGGATTGCGGCATGGCCATCCCCCCGGGGGGTGATTTTTTGCTTTCTGTCTCTCTGTCTCTCTGTCTGGCGAGCGCACACACCCTATAGCAAAAACCTCTCAAAAAAACAACAAAATAAATAAATAAATCAAGTCCTGGACCTAGTGGTTTTCTTTCTTTTATTACTTATTTTTATTTTATTTTAAAAAATAATTAACTTTATTTATTATGATTATTATTTTCCAATTTGATCAGAGAAAGAGAGAGAAGGAAAGCGAGAAAGCAAGTCACCAGGTCCAGGACTTGAACCATGGTCGGCCA